CCAATGGGGGTGCCAAGAACCATGGTGACGGCGGCAGTACCTCAACGCAAATGGTCACCGTCGACCAGGGCCTGCTCATTCACCAATACAACTTATAAAACAAGTGACTTATTAGTCAATTACTATTCAATGCATTAAAACAAAATATGAATTTAAATCGTCAACGGTCATTGACCTATTCCGTTATATGTGTTGAAATGCAATTACGGACTTGTGAGAATAAAATAACTCCCGGTTTAATCTAAAATTGTGGATCCATACCTGCACTCTATTCCCTGTCCCGTTGGTTTATTTTATTGTATTACTTACCTACTAGGTTGTTACTCCTGTTACGCATTTTTATGGCTTTTATAAAAATTTAAACTATCTTTGCAAGTATTGGTTATAGTTATACTAAAAAGTGTGGAGTGTATCAGACCCAAATTGAACAAAAACGAGATATTTACGTCATCTCTGAACTTAGAATACTTTTAAAAACAATATTTGTGTACTTAACCCCCCCCCCCTTCTCATTTCCCCAGCTGCATAAATCATATTTCCTCTTCACAATTTATCAAACAACTATAATCCATAGTAAAATAAAATAAAAAATAATAATAATAAAAAAAAAAATCATTGAAATGAAAGAAAGTAAAAATATGTGAGCCTTGTAACAACTACTTAATGGATGCCTAAACATGTACATTTTATAGCCAGCGTTTCAAAGCTAAAATAACCCCCCTGCATGTTGGTGGCAAATGTGCTTTAGCGGTTGCTCCCCAATTGTAGTGAATGAGATTTAAATTTTGTATTCTACAAATAATAAAACATATGGGCATGATATGCCGTATCCAATACTGACTAAACCTGCTCGAAGTTTCCCTGAAAAAAGGATAAACACCTTTTATGACTGGTCATGGAAGTACTTGCAACTACATTCGAATCGTTAAACTGTTTTAATTAAAAATAACTGCCAAGGCTTATTAATTTAATCATCACCTATTAAGTGTTTTAAAGTACGACTAATTTTAGTTTTATATAACCTCATGCCATAAGGGTAGTTTAACCTATTTCAAACAAAAGGAAGAATACTTTATATCGCTATTACTTAACGTAATGAAACTCTTTTGCGTTGAATGTAGGAAACGTTGATTAATAGCTGAGGACAATGTGCTATAGCTATTGACTACACTATGAGATCGATCACTGCAGATTTTTAAGGGACATATAATATAAGAAAGAAGCCCTGGTGAAATACCTAGCTAAATGTTCGTTGCACCACGCTATGAAATTAAAATGCTAGCTCTCTTGTGTTAATTTTTTGTGGATATTTCCCGCTAAGTAGACTATTCTAATAACAAGTTTAATCATTTTCTTTCTGATAAACGTTATTTTGGAAGTCTAAATATTCCGAATACTTTGACTTGCTTTCTGAAGTGCAACCATCGGCATTACATTGTACCTTCGGCATACTTATTGTTCGTATCATTCAATTGTCACTAGCGTAAACAATATATGTAAACAACATGTTATGCCCCGAAAATGAATGGAGATTTATAAGTTTCTTGACTTTATTGCAAAACAGCCGCAGTAAGTTATGCAATTCGAGGTAATTGCGATACTAAGTGTTCTGAGCATACAAAAAATATCTGTAAGGGAGTAGTTTTATCTCTGGGAAATTTAAGGTATAATCGTGGACCATTGTGTATTACACACAATTATACATGTATTTGGTAAAAATTAAACAGAATGATAAAATTAGTTTCAAGGCTTAAATCCCCATTAGACACTGACATAGGTGTGCAATAAAATAGATAAACACAATAAAATATCCGAGAAAACAAATTCTTGAGTACATTGCAACTCTTTGTCCATGGGTATGTGCGGTGGAAAAAAACTGGTATACTTTATAAGGCATACTTCTGGAGATATCTTGGATATCCCTTACCAGATTAGCTTAAAATTGAATGTCAGTGTACCTTAAATAAATGAATCAATATTGTTTTGACAACACATTATTAACTCCTTTTTTTTGACTTTTCTTATGTACTAGTAAATTCAATATTGCAATTTCATATCAACCTATTAAATCTTTAAATAATAATAATAATTGATTCATATATAATTTAACTGATTATTTGACAAGCTTTGTTTCCCCGTCTCGTCGAACACATTAGCAGACTATCCATTCAAAGATAGCCTGATAAGCAACATACGGAGCAAGTACTGGGTGCTGCTTATCCTAGTGAGACTCCTGACCAATCACTTTTATTAATCTGCCTATCACAGTGCTCTAATAGCTTAACTAAATATCAGAACTAGTCCATCCGACGGAGACGAGGAACCAATTTGATTTTGACCATCTTTTTTAAAAAAATTACCAGTTTATTTGAAATATGCCCCCCCCCTTCACACAAAGACTCGCTTAACCAAATTATACTTTTCCCTAGATGTAATCTAATAGCTGCGATTAATTGAAGCTGGATTAGGATCTATATCATTTGCCAATTCCACTTTTATATCTAGTATTAGCACAACTGCAACATTTCCTACTTGTTTCTTTTTTGCAAATCTTTAATTACTATTCTAATGAATTACTGGGGAAGTGATAAGGTCATGCTTTGATGGAAAGGAATGTTGTGCCCATTGCAGCTGTTGACTCACTGATAAAGCTGTCTTAAAAAAATAAAATTAAAAATGTTGACCTGTTTTTGGTAATGTACCTGAAAATAAATAATCATGGTAACATACATCTGTAATCACTATCAATTACTTAAGGTTTTTTATGTACTTACTGCCTTTTGTACCAATATAATTTGCTCCTTGCTTGTGCCTGAACCCTGCAAATTTGCCTACCTATTCTAATGCATATGAAGAATACTTTTCCACAGCTTTGCTGCAGTTTGACTGCTCACTGTGAGACAAATGCTTGCAAAATTAATAAGAAATGTTTTCATCCTATTTCAATAAACTGTGATTTTGCTTTCATTAGTTGGATTTTTATGCAGAAATTGACCATGTGGACCAAATGAGCTCCCATATGTTGTGTAACATAATATACAAGTTAACTCCCATCCCATTATGTAATAGAAAAATCAGTTCATACAATATCATCCATAAAACCTTACACCTTTTTGTTTTCTTAAAAAAAAAAAAAAAAAAAAAAAAAAAAAAAAAAAAAAAAAAAAAAAAAATGACAAACAGTTCTGTTCCAAACCTTTTCAAAAGACCAACAAACAAATGAAATGATACAAGTCTGCAAATAGAGCATAACACTTACACAATTTAATAAACCTCCTCTCAGTACACACAGTACTTTGATTACTTGAAAAGTGAAAGTGCACAAATTCTCGTGAATGCTTTCTCCGATTTAACGACGATTACATTTTGTAAAATGCGAATCAATATACCTCCTTCGAGCACGATAAATCTATGTAGAAAACCAACTAAAATCATTCTAGTAAGCCCAGCTTCTGAGAATATTCCGTGTTTTATGAAATTATCCCCCCCCCCCCCCCCGTTATAGCTATGATGGACTCGAAGTTTAACATTTCGCTCCTAAAAATAATAACTCAAGTTAAACAATCATTTGACCCCCAAACTGATCTTAATATATTCCTGTTACTTGTAAAGTCTCACAAATCACAACATCGCGTAAAATCAATTCAATTTACGAAAAAGTCCAATCAGGCCAAATCCAAAGTCAAACTTCGCCATCGATACATCTAATTTGCTTTGAAACTACAAACCCCAATAGTTATACTAAAAATCAAACTTTTTTGATTTTAAAAATTTAAAACATTGCCACAATTTAACTCCCAAAAATTTTCCATGACCTTACCGTTTAATTGATTCTTCTAGAAAGGAGGTAGAAAAGAACTTATTATTAGACTATATACAAATGGACCTAAATTATCCGGAATGATAGCTTGTGACTAAGGGTGAAAATTTATATTTATTCGAATGTACGTAACTTATCCGGAATAGATAAATATTACTAGGGTTACTGAAATAAACTCACTTATCCGAGACCAGGCTCGTATAAGTGGTAATATTTTTAACTGACTGATAAGCGAGTGCTAAATTATTATTTTGAAAAGTTTGAAAATCTTGTGACAAAGACTTTTCCGACATAGGTTCTACCTTAATTGTTTTTGAACAATACCTTAGTCATTAATTTTCTCTTTACATGTAAGCAAGTTTATTACGAAGTACAAATCGTACTTTGGGTTCGTTGCCACAATGCTCTCAGTATATACATTTTACCGATAATTTTATTAGGAAAACTTACTATGCATACATGTATATATATATATATATATATATATATATATATATATATATATATATATATATATATATATATATATATATATATATATATATATATATATATATATATATATATATATATATATATATATATATATCGGGCTCGATGCTATATGATGTTCTAGAAGCTTCCGTCAATATTATGATCGGTGAATGACGAGAATAATTTGCACAATCCCCTTTTTAATCGGTTATCACAACTTATTTCTTTTATATCATTTAAATCAAGTTTTCATTGAATAATTCAGTGATGACGTTTTATGAAATAAATAAACGATTGCTTGTTGTCAGTTTCATTAAAAATTGCCAGTAACTTAGATCGCCAACCGGAAACGCCACCGTACTCACGTTTTTGCTATTTCATGGCTGTTTATAGAAAATAAAAGTAGATTTTTAATTTAATGTACGATACTTACTATGTGAGTGAATTCTAAATATAGTTTACGGACATCATCTTGTATCCAGTATATTGTTAGAGGAGTAAGTAAGAACTCTGGTTCACCCGTTTCGGAGTTTATTTGCAAAATTTATTAATTTATAAGTATAGATTATATAATTCCTCTTCAACATTTTATAGAAAGTAAAGTGTAATGACTACAAAATTTCTTTTAATGTGTACTTGGTTTTAAGTCAAAATTGGTCCAAATACAATTTTTTTTTCAAGAAAAAAATTAATTTTATTAACATACGCGCATGCCAGACATCCAAAATTGGAATACGTTCGTCCATTTACGCCACATACAGGATCATATTCTTGAGTACACACACATCCTCCATTGTAACCATAATAACCTAAATAGAAATCAAAAGTATGAAAGAGGTATTCACGTAATTTTAATGTCAAACAAATTAATATATATGTAAATGTCTGTTAACATCCGTGTTTTAGCAATTCATTTTGAGCAATTTCATACTTTTAATTTTGAACGATAATAACAGAAAAGTGAATTTGAATATTGAGAGAGAGAGAGAGAGAGAGAGAGAGAGAGAGAGAGAGAGAGAGAGAGACCCTCGTAGATCAAACAGGTAATAACTAAGTAGTGTTCTACTAAATTCAAATTACAGATTAACATTTTCTATAAAATACTGTTAACATTTTTAAGATGAATTGGAATTTTTACACAATGTGCATGTAAATAAGAACACTAAAATAACGACCAGACCTTCGAATTGAATATATAGGCTATTATATAATACCACTTTAACAACGTTAAGAATAATTTTTTTTTCACAATTTAGTAAAGTTTATCTTTTTTATCGTTCAGTATGTTTTTGTATGGGATTCTGACATGAAGCTTTAAAAATCCGTTTTCCATTTTAAGAAAATTAGAAAACAATTCTTACTTTTAGAGGATTTTCTAGTATGATAAATGATAACTTATTTAGGGACTTCTTGTATAACAATTTAATGATTAAATTTACGCACTAAAATTAAAATATTATGAAAACGTTCTTTTTTATTGGAATAAAATTTGTACTCTGATAATGAATTACTTATAGGAAGAGTAAAATTTTCTATGATTGTCTTGTCTATTGCTCGCGTGAAAATTAATACTGCTAACCTTTATATAGCAATGTTCATTATTTTGAAATTTTTAAACTGAATAAATTTATTTTTGCATTTTTAAGATATTTCTTTTTTGCCTTAGATTTGTTGTAGGGTCTGATTAATACTTTTTTGTGTCTAAAATCAGCAACTGATGACATATCCTATACGTTTTAGGCCTGCGTAAAATATTTCGATGAAAACTTACAATCGAAGATTGCGTGTTTTTATTTTTCAGCTTACCTTCACTTGGGGCTACCAAGAATAATGTCACAACGAAGAATAAGACAGTAGTTCCACCAAACATTCTGAACAATTATGGATAGTAATTTAAAGAACCTCAATTTATACACACTATACCCTCCTCCCACTCAAGGGATTTTTTTTTCTAGCTGACTTACATTTCTAAAGGTAAAAGTGCAGGAAAATCTTTTCAAAATTCCATAAACGACTGACTGTCAAAATTATTATTCGACATAAGACTGTTTATGAAGTCCATACAGGTAAAGAAACCAGAAGCATTTCCCCCCAAAATTTCGTATTTTAATTATCCCCTATATTTTTCTCGTGTCGTTTATATCTGTTTAGCGTCCAGTGATTCAATTGAGACCTCACTCTTATCATGCATATATAAAAGTGGTTATAGCATTAGTTTAAAAAAATGTTATTGACTACATTAAGACACAACTATATTTTCTGAATTCCTCTTTAGAGACCTTCGAGATATATCATTATTTTAATACCTGTTAATATCATTGTTCATTAGATAAGACACTTGGAACGATACAAACAAAAAGCCTTATAAATGTACACAAACAAATCGAATCAGCTAAATATCTGAGTTACTGAAATGTTATCTCTGAATTTTCCAAACTATTGTTTGAATAGATATATTGAAACCGATCTCGTAATAAACACACCAAGGGTTGTCTATCTGTTTCATAGTGATATGTTTTACTGACTACACACCTTAATGACCAACTAACAATTGGATTCTATGACAAAAATGATGACTTTAGTATTTTTTCATCGTCAACTATTCTTATTTTAACATTAATATTCCAACATCACCTACAAATTTTGTTTATATATATATATATATATATATATATATATATATATATATATATATATATATATATATATATATATATATATATATATATATATATATATATATATATATATATATATATATATATATATATATATATATATATAATCTGCTTTGGTTCGCAGAGCATGTTTTGAGAACGATCAATAAGTTATCCAAGGCAGACTAATGACAAGAAAAGTAATGTTACAGGGCTTTCAATGATCTCGTTTAAACTTAATTTGCAAATTCCACGGACGTTATAATTACTTTGTCTGCATATGCTCATACCTATTTTTGGTTTGTATTTTGACTGACAAGTTTCATAACAACTGTTAGGGCATTGTCGTATACAAATCTTGACCACGGATTACATTGTTAACCTGATCAATACCGAAGTTCATGGTGGTTGTCACCAGTCGGCAGATGATGCTTACTCCTTCTGGACACCTGATCACACCTCTGGTGTATCTAAGCGTCCATGTTTTTCCCTATAACACGAATTGTTTTTGTTAACAGGGTTGATGAGATCGCTTATTTATTTTTCGTTATCTTCAACTTATACATTTAAAAAAAATCAGATATTTGAATAATAATAATCAGTCACAATGTACATGTATTATACAACGACCATGTAGGAATGTTGGATGTTGTAGTATATTGGTGCTTGTAGACACACTTTTCTTAGATTGAACGTAAATTGCAAACAACAATACCAATATCGAAAGTAGTAATAAAAATGCATGCATAATATTCTTTCAAAAATATATCAGACATTTCAATACCAGATATAGATATTTAGCTCCAATGCACATAGCTGTACAATTTAAAGACGTACATATACCACATTAACCAACAAGTAATATAACGTCTAACATTTTAAAACATGCAAGAAATATAACCAACGTTAAAAAGCCGTGAGTCCTATGTTATGGTCAGGTAGACAGAGTAATCCGTACATTAAATAAAAGGCCTAACAAATGACAGGAATTATATAAGAAAAAAATACGACTCAGGTATAGGCTATATTTGCCAACAAGATTATTATAAAGACCATGAAATTTACGAAATACTTTAAACGAGGTTGTAACATCATCCTAATTGTCAATAGTCTGCCTCAATTTCAAAATTCAGAGCACGCTATTGAATATCGAATAGATTAGGTTAGATTGTATGTTGTTTTACGAATTTTCACTCATATAGAGACGTCACCATATACCGGTGAAAGGCTTTAAATTTTGACCTTTACTCGGCACTCAAGGCCATTGAGCAGTGAGGGATCTTTATCGTGCCAACGCCTACCGTGACATGGGGCCTCGGTTTTTGAGGTCTCATCCGAGGGACCCGCAACTTTCACTTCATAGAGCCGAGCGCCGAGCGTCAAGGAACAGTTGCTACCCATTTTTTATCGACTTAGGTCAGTCGCGGCCGAGATTTGAACTCACGACCTCCCGATCAAGGAGCGAGCGCTCTACCGACTGAGCTACCGTGAACAGTCTGAGTGTGGAATAAGTTGGAAGCATAAAAATCATATGCGCATGATGTCGGAATATTACTACATTAATAAGGAAGGTTGACGATGGAAAAGCTAAAGTCACCTCTTTTGTCAAACAATGCAATTGTTAGTTAGCCCTTATCGTCTTAAGTCAATAAATAGTCAGTAAAATATCCAAATCTGAAACAGATGTAGCAGACTCTGTGGTTTCTTTCATTTCGAATTTACTGGTAAATATCGACTCGACTTATGAATGAAAGTAGCTATTTTGTTCGAGATGAAGGTCAGAGCAAGTTTTTACTTCTTTTTATGTAGACGATTTTGAATTAATTCTTCCACATAGGAATATAAAAGGATGTCGGCTAATAAAGGAGCACAATTAGTGTCCATTGAAATTCCAACAGTTTTTTTGAAGACCTGGTCCCCAAAGATTACATAAATGTCATCAATGAGGAACTCCAGTATCTTTTAATGTCAACTTTAGAGTGTTTGCGTGTAGAATCAGAGTGATTCTTAACAAATAATCAGTTGTCATAATACCAGAAAGCCTAGTTTTTAATTTATCTCTAGGTATGGTTGTATAAAAAATAGAAAAGTCATTCGCTTTTACTGACTTTTGAAAAAAAATATGTGCTTTTTAAAATCCACATTCTTTTAATACCACTTCTAAAATATGCTCTGGCACAGAACGTGTAAAGTTTCTCCTTTACAACAGTTAATATTTTTGAGTAGAAATAGCAGATACAAAGAATTGAAAATTAATTTAATGTTTTTCTTTCTTATAGTTAATGAACTGTAAAAACAAATCGATACTTGCTTATACGCTTTGGCAAAATGCCTACTCAACTGGACGTGAACACTTTAACTATGTACACTGCAAGCATGCAATTAAACACCTGAAAATTTACAGCAATTTACCTGACATGAAACAAATGTTTAATTACGCATTTGCAAAGAAAACTTAGTTCACAGAGACATGCTTTTAAAATTCGCAATAATTGTTTCCTGTTATTACAATGACGATTTATGATGTTATGTAATGTCATTTTATGTCAAGAAAAATCCTGTTTAGGGACCATAATTGCCAATCACCAATTAAATGACAAATGCTATCACTTACTTGAAATTAAGTCATCTTAAAATAATTTGCTCTGAATAAAAAGTTAATGTTAAGGACATACGCAACGTAGTTTGAACTTTATTGTCTTTTCCCCTGGAGTTGAAGAGTTCCAATACTTAAAGAAACTGTGTGCTACATTTTAATGTCTATATACGCTATTGTACACTTCTTCTAAAACAAGTTTTGATAAACAAAACGTCTAGAATATATGTTTAGTAATTTTTGTATATTTTTCTTTGAATTATACAGGAATTTTCATCAATTGATATCTTTTCAAAACCCCTGGAGATGCATGCTGATTTTTTGTCTACGAACTTCTGATGGCACTATAATCTTAAATTAAGAATATCTTGAAAAATTATCAGTAGGTAAGGTACATTGCGTATGTCCTTAAAAAGAATTTTCTCCTTGATAGCAGCAAGGCTACATGCATTGATTGTAAAATATGCACACATTCATATTTCCCTTACATTTAATAATTAACCTTTGGGCCTGAGTGAGAATACATTAATTCCGTAATAAATGACTTGAAGAAAAAGATTAAATATATGATCATGTTAATAGATTGTTTTAAAATTTATAATTACTATTGTTGTTTTTACAAGAAGGTTCTTAAAAATAATCAAAAATAAGAATAACATACATACAAATAAACGGAAAATGTGCAAATCTACTGTTTAACATGGTATGCTTGTCATATTTTTCCATGATTTAACAGCACCTATCCGAAGTTCCCATAATATCAAATCTTTATAGTTGTTTGAACTTCATCTTAGATTTGATTATAGTTTTGGTCATAACTTATGATATGTAAAATCTGCTTATTATCCTTTATCTTTTGTTCATCAGCGGGTCAGTGATTTCTTGACAAGTTCTCAAAACATAATTAAATAAGTTATTCAAAGAAAAAGTAAACGACCGTTTGTTTATTAAAAAAAAGTTTCTTAATTTGCTAGATTCCTTATTTTCGAAAGACAACTTGGCCATATTAATTAATCATAAAGTACATTGTAGTTTGTTGTAGCACACAAGCATATAAAGATTAAGGAAAGGGAATTTATAATGATTTTAATGACACCAATCAAAATTGTCCGGTTGTCTTTCAGATAAAAAAAGATGCAAACATTACGAGCGTTTAATTGGGAAATTGTTTTTATAGTAATAAAACATTCACAGTTATTCCATAATTATTCAAATTCAAAGTAATTTCCATGGTAAATGAAAACTTTTTTTCATTATAAAGCAAGATTTTCTTCCATTTTTCTTTCTTTCTTTCCTTCTTTCTTTTTTTGAAAAGGTAATAAAATAATGTAATATTATGAAACTCAGACTGAGAAATCTTCTTTTTAATTTTCAAAAAAAGATTACGTTCTAATTTTAAAATGAGAACTCTTTCCCTAATCGACCATCTGCAGAAACAGTTGCTCCAATGCTTTAAAACAATTCATGGATTATTCTTTTAAGTAAATCAAAGTGTCATACTAAAGTTTCAACGCATCAAATTAGATAAAATTCTTAAAGTATTTAATTATTGTAATAGTAACACAGTGCATACTTCCGTTAACTGTTATATATTAAAGCTAATTGGAATCTTTAGTGAGATT